CAAGTATTCAACTAGTATTTAATCCCCACCTCAAAATTACCAAATTGAAATTTGTATACCCTTCTGATACTGACATGATATTGTATTGTATAATATTATGATATATCTTCATTACTTCTCATCTAGTATTGAATCCTCACATTAAAATTGTTGATTTTAAAATTCTGTTCAATGTCATACCCTTCACATACTTTTTGAATTTCCATACACCAGTATTATGCTGTTATTATAAAAGTATGAAATGTAGCTTTCAAACAGTATGATAAAATATCGTAGCATACTATTTGGATACTCTGCCTGCAATATTTAAAGAGTATATAGATATTTCACTCTCATACTTTTTCCATACCAACAAAATACCTGTCAGGCAGTATTGTTTGTTTGTTCTTGATACTAACACAATACTGGCATCTCAGTATGTTGGTCATCTTTAATGAATATCTGCTTAATATTGTGTTAGTATCCAATATGAAAATGCGATATATTTTCATACTTTCAAGATATTCCCTTTATATCTACTCTCTAGTATCATATAAGTATCTTTTGAATATTATATATAATATTTTTAAAGTATCTTATCCTGAAGAATCATACTCTTAAAATATTGGCCGATCAGTATGTTGAAGATATTTTGTTCAAAGTTAAGATACTGTGATAGAAGTATTATTCTAGTATGTGACCCAGTATTGAGGAAAAACATTTGAATACAATCAAAATACTAATCAGATACTTCAGCATGGGTAATAAAATATATATCTTCATACCAATCACATATGTGGTGGATGGTATTTTGGGAAAATTTTATGTACCATCAAAATACTTTCAAAATATTCTCACGTCAGTATGTTGGAATGTTTGCAGTGTGTGCGTTTCCTGCATCTCAGATGATCTGGACCTTCTTACAGAAGTCCCGGCAGATGTTGAAGCCTACAGGATCGGTAACGGACTTGTCCAAGTCGTTGAGAGTATTGTACTCTTGGCGAACAATGAAGACAGGCTCCGACAAGTTGTGATCAGTGAAAATGGCGGGATCACCACTGGTGACAAGAGTCCCCTAACAAGAAGCAAGACATAAGAATTAAAAATGACATTCATGTATATATCATGAAAAAGCGTACGCAGAGTCCAGCGATGCTAGAAAGCATGCTGAGCAGAACAAAAGGCTGGAACGTCGGCTTCGAGCTGGCATAGGTCTTAAATGCTTCGTTGATATTGTCACGGATGACGAGAGTAGAAGCGAGAGGTGCAGGAGGTGCCATGTTTAAGCTGGGTAAAAGTGTTGTGAATTGTGCTACAATACTTGACAACTTTTCCCGTCTTTTAACGAGTTCCACTGTTCTACACCCCTGACTAGAGAATGGAGAACAATTTGACAACACGCTCATTCAGGAGTTGAGCATCATTTCAGGAGGTATCGCATATGATAATCACAGGTGCTATTAATAGAATTGCCATTGCTTCAGACACACTCTTCACGCTTGGCGGAACAACTGAGGACAGTTGATTTTAAAAGTAGGGGGGAGGATAGTGATCTATTATAACATATAATGTACCTTTTGAAATCAAGAAACAAACGTTTTGCGATTTTATAATTAAAGAACGAACTTAGAAATTGGTTGAAAAAGTCTCTAAGTCAGCTTAAGCGACTTCAGTCTTCTTTCACACTAGTAGAAAACAACAAGATACAAGCTTTTATTAGTCTACCTAATAAAAACTACAAGAAGTGCAAAGAAATACGATATAATGAGAGTTTGCACGTAAAATATCGTACTGAGTCCAAAATGATATATAGAAAAATATGAAAAGGGCCCTGCTCACCCATCGTTGGCCGGAGCCTCATCTTCATTGTCTTCATTGTCATCGTCAGAGTCTTCGGCAGAAGGATGACCAGGGCAGATCTTCTCGAACAGAACGGCCATCTCTGTGAGATTGTCGCGAGAGTTCTTGGTGGCATCTTCATCTTCGGAATCATCGACAGGGGCGCTGAGGTCGCCAAGGAAGGACATGATGAAAGGGAAATAATGGTCGAAGTCGTCCTGCGTTTGAAAAATAGTACCGACCAAGCTCTCCTTGCCTTCGATAGCGGCGAGATCAAAGAGCGCTTGGGCAGCGCGGCGCATGTTGGTGTCCCGACGATACATAAGGGAGTCGATGATTGCTTGATTCGCGCAGATGTGCTGTTGATCGAACACAGCGTCTTGGATATGAGAAACGATAACTACAGAATAGAAGAAGTTAGAAAGAAAAACTCTATAAAATATAAACTCGAAGACTTACGTTCAGGAGCCAAGCAAGCAGGGTGACGTCCCAGAATGCTGTGGACTTCGGCATGACGGACAGGCTTGAGGCTGTATTCACAGCAAGTGAAATGCGCAGTTTTGCAGGGCACGCAGGGGTAACCCCAGCCTTGAAACTGGCATTTCTCCTCCTTTTGGTTCTTGCCCATGGAGCATTGAACGCAAGGCTCAGGCATCTGAACAAAGAGAACTTGAGCAAATAAAAAGAGAAGAAATAATAAAATTACTTACAAAAGGCTTGTTGAAAAGATGCTCTAAGTTGGTAGGGACGTTGAACGCTCCAATAAACCGCTGATGAGGAGGAACTAAGAAAAAGAAAAAGCTTTCAGTTAGTAACTAGGAATGAACTGAGAAAAAGAAAAAGTCTTATGGAGGCGTTTCTTATTGTGCGTCAAGTCGGGGTTGATGACCTCCGGCGCTACAATAAAAACACAAAGTTAGATTTTTTAAAAAGGAATAAATATGATAAAAAGAGAACGTACAGTTCTTACGGGGTCGTCCACGTTTACGAGGAGGTGGATTAGCAATGAACGACTTGTCCGATTGCCCATCCTCTCCTTCTTCACTGGGGCTCCGCTTGCGTTTACTCGCCTTGGATTTTGTGCTTGGCGCAAGTACGAGCATATTCTTCATCTTGGCGAGAGCCTTTGCGGGACGATCATGACATGTGTGCATCTCCACCTTAGGAATATTGAGGCGGGGAACCACGAGGATCATCAGAGCGTTTGCAGATGCAGCTGGGAGCAGAGTGACAGGCGGCATAATGCCAAGAGGCAGCGTAGGTGACAAGGAGATAGGAATGGGCACGTCAGCGGAACCAGCGGCTGGAGTGGTGGAAGTGTGAGAAGGGCCGGCAGCGGGAGGACTGTTCGGTGGCAAAGGCGTAAACTTCATGAGGCCTGGCGACGCGAGAACGCCTTTACGATGTTTCTAAAAAGAAGTAAAGAATAAATCAGAAAAAGAACGGAATAGATAGGATAAGAAAACTTACAAAGATTGGGGAGTCCTCTTGATCAGACCCCTCGTTAACAGGCGATGGATTACGGTTAGCGACAAGCGTGGATGAGGCCAGAAAGGGATTGGCCTTGACGGGCGCATCACAAATCGCAGGGAGCACTTGAAGGAGCTCGTCGTCGGTAAGCTCAGGGACAGCGAAGTCCCCCGTGAAACAAAGAGATCAGACTAAAATAAAAAGAAGAGATAAAGAAGAGATCATACCTCAGGATAATAGTCGTCGTCGCCATCAGGTGCCTCGAGCATCCATTCATCCCATACCTGATTGGCGTGATCGGTACTCAAGACAGCCCACGCGTTGTAAAGTGATTTGCGGACGCGAAGATCGCCTTGAGTTTCTTGCGCGCCATCGTTAAGAGAACGGATATAACGAAGCTATTATAAGTATATTAGCTTAAAGAATAAAAGAGAAAGAAGAAAAAGGAAGTTTACCATGAGCGGATGAACGATGGTCAAGAGTTTAGCGATGTCTTCGCCATCACAGTCAGCAAGGCTGTCCTCGCCGAACAGAGAGAGAGCCGAGTGGAATACGGCGCGAGTATAGATGGAGCCATCGAAAAGCACTTGCCAGCTAGTCATCATGAAATAAAGACGACAAGCAGAGGGGAATGTGAAGGGAAGAAAGGGAACTATGGGAAAGAAAGATGATCAAAAAGGGCCCTCTTTTCTAGCACGAGAAAAACAAAAAGGCCTCCGTGTTCCAGAGGAACTCCGTGTCCGATTTGTTGCGGTTCCTGCGAATCATTGAGAATCCTAGAACTTAAGAAAGTTTATTGGGCGCTTGCGTCTAAAAATAGAATTTCGGAAGTTTTTGACTTGACATGTGTGAGATGCCTACTATAACGGGAAAAACGTCGGTGTGGCGGACATTGACAACTTCAGAAAATGTCAGTGGTATGTCAGTCAATCCTGGAAAATCTTGGCGATCCGTCGCTACAATATAAAAATGTGTGAACCACAAGACAAAGTCCAGAGAAAGACGTCCTCAGAAGGGAATCTTGCAATGACCGAGGACGGTCAGTATTATAGTGGGGGGGAGATGATACGGATGAAACCATTTCACCCGTATAAAATTCAATTTTAACGATTTTACTGATAAAGGTCATCTCTAATAAATACACTACATACAATTGCAATGATACAAAGAGTCAATGCGCATACCCGGCGCAGTTGACTAAAAATGCAAATGCGTGGAATCTGAAAATAGGACAAGGCTTTGGAACTGGCAGCAGTACGCGTTGTGACATTATACTTGGATCCTATCTAAGATTCACCTACCATGAAATAGAGCACGAAGAGGTTCTAGAGTAAACACCCAACACAGGGAGAAGAATTGCATTACTACCAAAGGGTTTAGAAACACATAATGGATTTATTGTGAAAACTCGTGCTTATACAAGAAATACAGAAAAGACGACATAGACGCTTAAACGGCATGTCTGAAACATTGAAAGACTAAACTACACCTAGGTAGTAAACATACGAAGACTTAGCGTGGCTCACGGCCATTCAGAAAGACATGTACGGCAGTTCCCGCGTACGCATCAAAGACTGATGCGTCTGAACATCACAAGTACAAACATGAGAAAAAGACACATTCTATTATATGAAATATAATAAGAACCCCCTGACAATTAAGAAAGACATTTGAAAACACCTTCAGAGTGTCTCCCGACCTCCGTAATGAAAAGACGAGCCAAGACAAGGCATTTTAATTAAAAACTCGGAAGCGACGGAAGGCCGAAGACTATTGGTAAATGCGTACGCATGCGCATCAACGCATCAGGAAACGTTAATCATTTTGTGATGTCATCTGTCAAACCGGTAAACCGGGCCATAGAAAGAAACACGCGAGACCATGCCAAGCTAAGAATAGCTACGTTGGCTAACTCCGCGTATGCATCAAACACTGATGCGTTTGAAAATGAAAGACGCGACACTACAAAATCTGTAGTGTTCACAGAGATAGACTACAAAATATACCACACATTCATTAAATTTCATATTTGTAATTCGGACCGAAGTATCCCGCATTAAAACACATGTAAAACGTAGATAGGGGTTCCTGGAGTATATAAGGAGCGCGCTGGCAGGTCAAAAGGCAAGCAATCGCCCCCCCGTTGACCAGCTAGTTGCACTCCAAGTAGGAACTTAGGAGGTGGACAGTTGTAATCAATTAAAGGAGATTTCTTCGTGGTCAGAAAAGTACAGTGTGAACGAAGCCAGCATGCTTGGGAGTCAACTTACTTGGAGACTTTTGAATAAGAGGTTTTAAAAACACAGTATTATTTAGACGAGACAGCGTACTCGTACCCTTGGTTTTGGAGCGTAGTGACATAATAAAAACTCACGGGAGTCATAAAAGTCAATTGAAGTCATGTTTTGTGTTAATAAAAGAAACTGTGATCAAAGAACTTTGCATTTAAGAGACCAAGTTCCCAGAAAGACATACTTTGTTCTATTGAACTATTCTAAACCACACCTTATAATAAAAACCCGTTTTGAGACGAAATCTCTTGAGACTTAAACCTAAGAAGACAAAAGTGGTATTTCTTAATACCAAAGGCCCTCGAACTCGTGCACTGAGATTGTGATAGTGTGTGTGTGTGTGTGTGAGTGAGTGTTTAGGTGTTTAGGGTTTTCCCGACGTGCTTGATCCTTGTTCGCGTGTTTCGCACTTTCACAGTCATCACCGTGCAACGCATATCATTGCCATGGCTACCAAGACTATTTCTCAAAGACATTGTTTAAATATGCAAATTAAATGTGGTTGAAGTTCTTATTGTTCTTCATTTTCTAATTTTGAGAATTGATGTTTTCGGAATGCACATTTGCTTCATTATTTTGCAAGTGGCCACAATTAAGGAGGTACATTTGTCCTGATTATTTATTAGGCCCTGCCTCAAGTGTTACTGTCTGTTGGAAGATCTTGAAAAATTAGTGAAGATATACCAATTATAAACTCTTACTTCACAGAAGTCAATAACTTGTTCAAATAGCTTTATGAAAACTTTTCTAACAATTGACCTCTGTGATATCTTATACATGTTAAGATTGTGATGACTATCTGAAAATTTCAGTAACTGACTGAAAACAAAGCCTTTCCAGAGGTCTTTATTGTCCCCCACAGATTCCTGAGGATTCCTGCACAGTCCCAGGACTGAGTATTGGCTGATGTACCAGCCAATTTTTTCAGTCCTGTGGGGGTCCATTGGGATTTTCAGACAGGACTAGTCTGAGGCTTGATGCATGTGATGAGTCACATGACCCATGGACATGTGCTTGGATGCATCATGTGCATATGTTTGTTGATCATGGTTTTCATATGTGACATGTCACATCACCTTTCTCTCTCAACAATCACCACATGAGAAACATTGCCCAATATTACCAGTTAGAATATCCTGAGAAAGTGTGACACTTTTTCTTTTCAGGAACATTCTGATTATATTTAAAGTATTTCATGTTGGGAAAGGCATGGGATTTTTAAAAATCCAGGCCAAGAACTTTGCTTTGCCTTTACCACACCTGTAAAGGGTGAACAAAAGCTGAAATATTGAAAGCATTTTCATGTTAGTGAAATTGTAGTAAAGGTTAGACTGATGGGTAAGATTAAGAGGAAAGCCAAAGCAAATGGATCCTTTATTTTCAGATGTGATGCAAAATTGATACATGCTGATAAAAGAGGTGGGAAAGGATGAAATTTTTGAGAAAGAGAGGCACAAGGAAGGGGGGAGGCACGGGGAAAGGGGAGAGAAAAGGAGGAGGGATGCACAAGGAAGGGGGAGAGAAAAGGGAGGGGAGATGGACAAAGAAAAAGGAAGGGGAAGGAAAGGAAAGTGGGAGGGAAAAGGAAGGGAGGGAAAAGGCAGAAAGTGTTAGTGTTTGGAAGTCTGGTCTCATGACTGGAAAAAGACTGTAACCAGACTGGACCTGTGGTTTGGTCTTTTTATTTTTGAGATGTAAAGACTGCAAAAAGACCTGTTAATGTGAACCAGTCTTGACTGGTTTTGACTGGTCTTTTGTAGCCCCTTAAATACCCTTTAAAATGCACCCAAGAATGTATGATTTGGTCAAAAAACAAGAGAGATATGAATTAAAATGTAAATTACTTTTGGGAATAATAGATGTACAAGACTTATTTTATAGAAGCACCAATTCCTAACGGAATTTAACATTCTTGGGCTCATTTTGAAGCTAATAAAGATGTTAATAGATTTACTGATTCATAATTTTTAATTTTAAAATATTGGCCTAAAGACCGGTCATAAACCAGTTAAAACCGATGCAGATGGAAACTGGTCTATAGACAGCAAAAACAGCAGCATGAATGATGCTCGAACCTATCCTTTGGTGCATCACTTCGAGTATACCCTGGAGGATCACGTTTACATTGCTGTGAACTTCATCCACTGTTGGCCATGCATGGAAGGGGACAATTGGGGGAACAGTTGACCAAGTTCTAAGGCATGAGACACTTTGTGCCCCATTAGCTTGATGGTTGATTTCAGCCACACAATTTCCAGCAAGTTTCCAGAGGAGGAGTGCCTTCATGTCCTCTTCCTCTGTAAAGCTTTTCAGCTTGTACACTCCATCTGCAACTGCCAGGCATGAAGCCAGAAGTCCATGTGTGCCCTTTTTTTGGTGAAGACCAAGACTTATGACATGATCAACATGATTGACACTCCCACTTGCTATGGCCATCAGCAACCTCTTCTGGTCCGATAATGCCATAGTTGGTTCTTCTTTTGAAGGAGTTCCTGAAGTCCACTGAAACCATAATATGCAAATGGTGAGTTTTTATGAAGACCCTCATCCATCTGCCTGATAATTCCCTCAAGTGTTCCATTTCTTATCAACTGTTGACATGGACAACAAAGCTGATGGTCGCCTTCAGAAAACCCAGTACAACTTTGTAGTCCCATGGGAGTACATGCTTGGTGTGAAGGGCAAATGTATATGCAGTATGTAGAGATACTCCAGGTGGGAAGTCAAGTTTAAACCCCTTACAGGTTGTTGTTAATTGTTGGTTGCACAGTTGGCCAGGAAATTTTTCCTCTTCAAAGGAATCAATGTCGATGATGGTGCACTGTGCATTTTTGGTGCTAGCTGCAGCTGATCCTTGACAGAGCAATGTTGATATGTCCATTCTGTCAGATTGGGTGATATCAATAGATGAAGGTTTGGAAGATATCATAGGCACTGTGGTGGTATTGGTATGAGTCAATGGCCTACCACCACAGATAGAGATGAGTACCAAACCCCAAAAAAAAGTTGAAGCATATCAGACTCACAGTTTCTCAAGTTCTCCTAACAGGTGCAACAGCTTTCCCTTGAATAAAGCTTCACTCACCCCATGCTTCATGATAAAGTATTCCACAAATTTTGCAAGGCCATCTACACCCTTCTGACCTCGCTGTATCATCCCATCCATGCTCTGATCCACTCCCCAACCCAACACTGCCTTCAGCAGCCCATTCAACTTCACCTCCCAGAGTTCCTCAGCATCCAGGCTCAGGTCATCAAAACTCTTGGGGTCTTCTTCAAAAATTGCAAGGGGATCATCAGCCAACGCTTCAGGAACACTCTCTGGTAGGTTATTGATCAGAGACCAGAATTTTGCAATGAGTTTGCTGACTGGCTGTCCAGAGAGCAGCATTTTATGAATGTTGGGGGGGGGGGGGGAAGAGGTTAAACTTGCCCCACTTGTCAGTTGACAGTTACTGATTATGGTTGTAGGCATGGCTTTTGAAGGCACAGGGGCCACTTTCGGTCATTTGAAAAAGGTGAGTATGGAAGAATTCTTCTTCTTGTCATCCTTATCATGTTTTGCTTTTGTTCCACAGCAGATTTTCGAACCCATATGATGTATTGTGAGGTTCAAGATCCCAACACTGCTGCAGTGGATGCATACTTTGCACTCTGGACATACGGTGCATCTGTCGGCATCAAAAACCAACTCTGACATTGGTACCATATTACTTCCCTGTCAAGATGACCAGTAAGTAACCTGATTGACAGATGCTTGACTACTTACCTGAGATTGCATTGCAGGTTCTACTGGTTCCATTTTCATGTCAAAAATCTGAAAAAGATTTTTGTGATTTGTGATAAGATAATTATAGCATAAGCACGATTATGTACAGCAGAAACCACTATTATTTGGACTCTACAACACTAGTTAGCATAGGTGGGAGTCTGGCTGGGTCACAGTAAACTGATATGACATTCTACGATGATTTGGGAACTAAGTTGTTGAAGATTCCTTCTTTTTTTTTTGGACTGGACCTTGGACTAACTAACTGGGTACTGGTCCAGCATTCTATTGCTGGTACCCCCTTGTTTTGTTCTACTCATTGTAAAAGTCAACTTTCATATACTGTACTAATACGACCATGACTTCGCATCATGCATCACAGAGGTCATCGAAGGAAGTGAAGTGAGGGTGATGTCACGCATCACCCTGGTTTTCGAAGTCATTTTTTCCTATTCTAAAATGGCTGATTTTTCTGCATCCCAGTAATTCAAAATCCAAAGCGGAAAGGCAACCCGGGACTGATCACCAGGGAGGTGAGCATAACGTATGGATTTCCAAGTCCAACTTGATTCTGACGCTTCCAGTGTAAATATTAGAGCTGCTGGCGGTATAGGAAGATCTCGTAGCAATTCCAGGGAAAGGCTAACGTTCGAATTCTCCTGGCAACCAAACGAGAGCTGTGGTTCCAGGGCGTTGATGCCAGAATGGGTGTTATGGGTCTCAGGAAGCTGTCTCGGTAGGGGAAATTTCAAGAATTGTGTCACGGAGAGCATTGGAGATGGGAGGAACTCAGCACGCATACGTGGTGGGATTTTTTCCAGGAACATGATGAACAAGAGAGAGAATAAACTTTTTTTCATTCAACATCGGTTTACACAGTGGGCAACGCATCAGTAATTAGAGTTGCTTTTAGAGTTGATTTTAAGCTTGAAACCGATGATGGGTCCCTGTTCGGGTCAACTGCAGAAGCGCCGAAGCCATCACACTCTTCATCACGCATCACATCGGCTGTTGAAGCGGCGAAGAGATGGTGAAAATGTGTCACGCCCCATAGGGCCCGAGGACTTGGTTGTATTAGTACAGTACTAACTTTGGGGTGTTTTTTTTTTGAAATTGAAGGCTTATTTGTTGAAGTGACCCCCTCTGGTTTGGCGGGGAAATCGACTCTCCACCAAAAGGGCGACAAGAGTTTCCAGTCTGCTCACAAGCTCGCCCTTCTCTTATCATGTGCCTCGTAACGTCCTGTGACTGCTGTGACATAGTGCAAGTCTAATTGAGAGGGTGTTGTAGTCATGTGATCACGACATAACAAAATATTGAAACGTCTTCTTGCAAGTACTTAGTATGTACCAAGAGTGCGACAGGATTATGGGTCTAGCTAGGTTCCCTTCCTACGGTTTCTTAACCGCTCCTACTATTGAAGGCCAGTTTCTCTCCCAAAGCACGGATCTGTACAGTGCAACCCCCGGCTGACGCGACCCAAACGCGACCACAGAATTGCTGCTCGAACTAACACTCCCTTTTTGTTGTACCATTGTCCCCACCCACAGGAACTCGAGACTACTGATCTCGGTAGCCGACCACAGCCTTCCACAGCACTAGACGTATGGCCTATGGTGAAGCCAAACCACGCTGCAGCACGTCGTTACTGAGAAGCCACATTGCTCCACAATGCAGACGAAACCCAGTTGCACCCGCCTAGCAATCCCTGCCCCATGACGACGTCTGACACCCGCCGAAAGTTGGCCTCCGTGATGGTATGTCACCCGTACGATCGTCCTCCGTCCCTTCTCTCGGATGCCAAGTGTCTGACAGTCCACCGTTCCACCGCCGACCCAAGCACCACACGTCACCTCCTGCAGGTTCGAGGAACTGGTAGCTCTATATCGGACTAGTGAGAGATAGAAAAGGAGCGGTACAGATGAAATCTCATTTACCAAACCAAATCAATTGGACGACCACGGCCAGGCCCATATACGTGGCGTGCAAACGAGCGGAATGGAAGAAATGCCAAGTCTTCGAACAACCCGTGGTATGTTTGAGATCATGTCCCCGCCGAACGGTACTGTCGAGCCAACTTGAATTCTGCCGACCTGAGGGCACATCAGCAACAGCTGAAACTTTAACATTGAATGAACCTACATCCTCCAAGTGTCCGACGATCCCTCCTGTCCACGGTTATCTGCCACATCAGTACACCGGGTTGTGAGGCTTGCTGGGTGACGACCTTTGAATGGTGTCTCCTTTTCTTGATCTCACAACCCGAAAAGCTTTTACTATGAGGAGGGTTAGATGAAAGCGACGAAAAGCAGAGAGGATCCTTACCTGCGTTTGAGTTACGGTAGAGAACCATTGAGGAGAAATGGACGCCCGCGAGCGGCTTGCGATACGCACAGCCCTTGGTACTAGATAATGTGTGTATGAGTGGAAGACGGATCTGAAATAGAGAATATTCCTCACCGTTGTGCATTGGTCCATCAAGATCATCCACACATCTGAGATTAGTGCACTCAATAGCGTCATGTAGGTTGCTGCTAAAAATTGCGGCCATGGCCTTTACTGAACAACGATGAGGATGCGGCAAAAGGGGAGGAAGAGTGTTGGGAGGCGTGTGGCAAATCGGAAACCCCAGGATCGCAGCGTGTTAGAGGCAGTCGAAAGTCTACGCGAAGATATTGTCCAGAAAAAGATGGGGACGTTGAAATAGTCACGTCAGGTCAACTCTGTGGACTGACGAAATGACGATGATAATGTTAGCAGATGAGGAATGAGTACGTACCCATGTCATCGAGGTGGCTCGACGACGCCTTATCCTCCCAGAAACGGTGCGAAGGGCCAGACGATGGGCCCTCACGCGCACGTAGAGCAGAGATGGTGAGCATCCTAGCTAGGAGAGTGATGGTTGTGATGAACCAAGTCGTGATTGATCTTATCACAATATTCGTCGTTGTCCACGCGCGAGATTGCACTTTCTCGCCAGCACACCTCAAATACTCAGTCTTAGAAATCCACCTCTCCGCTGGGGCGTGCGAGCGTTCTGGGGGCCTTGACGATTGAAGCATGGGTTCACAATTTCAGGGAACGACCAGTTCGCCCGAACAAGGTTACAATTACTGTGTAAGACTTTCTAATTCGTCACCACTATGAGTCTCTGACTCGCATTTAACAGTTTGAATAGCGGTGTATTTCTCCGACGGATAACAATAACTGTACCTCGATGTCGAGCCTTCAGCAACCAAAGGCATAATATGAAACTGTTGAATAGTCGAGGCGGACCGGCAACTCCGGTATGCCGATCCCGTGCATACGCGCACGTACTAGTCTCATATAGGACACTGTAGATAGTTATAGTAGTTTGTAGTATATTCTAGTTACATATGTTTGTAGTATATAAGGGGGACTGAGAGTCCCCGAATTCATTACCTTCTCACTCAACCACTACCCCTCGTACTCGCTGCTCCAACAGGTTATGGGCCCCGAGCCCTAAACATACT